TTGGGTTTATGGGGCCCCATGGTTTCTAACAGCAGCCCTGTTGGTTGGTATGGGATCAAATACTTATTTAACTCACTGAACTGCAACACAATTTAGAACTTTCATATTATGTGCCTTTTCTGGATTTTTGGTTGATATTCTGTCTCTATCATTTAAAATATACCTATGATAAAAATTATAGATCTTTGTAAGTGGGCAAACTTACAAAATCTGCAGGGGATCAAATAGTTATTTTACCCACTATAAATACAAATAGGGATTGGGGAAGGGAGGAGGGTGTATGATGTTAGTTCACCTTTTCATTTTTCCTGAAAAGATTAACTTGCACTTTAAAGTGATCAAATCTGTAAACAAGCTAATAGCCATATATATGGAGTGTCAGTGAGCGCTATGGGTGTGTAGAAAGGTATAAGCTGCTGGCACTAAAGGACCGCCCTTGGTATCCTCACTAGTGAATGAAATATAAAAGGTGCAGCGCTAAAGAAATGAATGAATCAAATGAAATACTTCTAAAACATGTGCATATACATAAATAAATAATAAATGATGATAAGATGAATAGAAGCATCAATAGGACGAATAGCAGCAATATTAAAAAGCAGATACAGTGAGGCGCTCTGATCAGAGCTACCAGTCTAAAGTGTGAGAGTTCATGAATTATTAATATAGCAATAATTAATATCCACTATCAGCCGATGTTCTCTGGCTCTTTTGTGAGCTAACTCCTCAGAGTTTCTCATTGCGGTTTCCATGCTGCTTAGTGTCATCATCCCTATCTGAGATCATCCTAGCTTTCATGGTCCTATGACTGATGGGTGTACTGCCTGACTTACCTGGGGAAGAAACCAGCTGTTCATGCTCATTTTATATGTGCTTCTGGGGAGTGCCTATCGGGGGCGGCACCCGTTTGGGCACCCGGGCACTGCCTGAAGGCCCGGGGTCAGTAGAGGGCCCCATGAGATGCCCCTGGTACTTGTCATAAGCTTTTTTGGGTGTGGTTTGAGTGGTTGGGCAATGACACAGGAGTCCCATGATTTCCTATTGTCCAGGGGCCCCATGAGTTGTCAGTCCACCCCTGGTGCATATAAAGGAATACTTTTCACGGATTCACCAGCACTGGATGTCACCTGTTCACAGATTTATTTTCTGAACTTTTTTATAACTATTGTTTATCGCAATTGTGTCATTTGATATATGTTCACTATTAGTCACTATTCATTTTAGATCACCAAGCAAATAGCCATAACTTCCCTTCCGATTGATTTGGACTCAATCCGATTTTAATAGGATTCGATCAATCTGAGTCGATCAGTCAGGGCAGAATATGATTGATCATTTTCCATCAATTAGCAGCAGTGAGGTACTTTGTTAATGAATAAAACTATATTGTGATTGATAAGACTATGAGAATACTGTACATGGTGGAAACAGAGATGTGATCAATAACAGGATCTTTATCCTAGAAAGAAAAAATTAATACTGTAGCTGCTGACGTTTAATAAAAGGACACTTACCTGTTCAGGGATCCAGCACTGTCCTCACCTGGGCTGGTCTTTGGGTCTCCATTGCAGGCATGTTTACAGTGGGAATCCGGCTGTGACTCCCTGTGACTTTACAGCTGGCTTCCCATTGTGTGTGCGCAAGCTACACTGCACTTTGTGAATTTGAAAGACGTGTTACAAGCACACCCAGGTTCTCCAAATAGGTCCAAAGCTTTTCAATCAATAGTTAAAGCAGAACTTCACTCTAAAGGGGAATGTCTGTTTTATGTCCTTCACCTCCCTCCTATACCACATTTGGCACATAAAAATTTTGGGGGAAGCGAGTACCTAATTTCCATAGGTACCTCCTCCCACTTCCACTCAGATTACCTACGTAGTCCAAGCAGAAGTTCACCCCTCTGTCTCTTTGCCCACAGCCTTCTTGGACATGTCAGAGGAGGCTGCAGGACCATTCACAAAGTGCAGACCTAATATTCCCAATGCACACATTCCTGAGAAATAGCTGTGGATATCAGTGGGTGCTGCAGCAACTACTGGCTGGAAACCATTGATATTCAAAGTGGAATATATGTCACCAGCACACCAGGAATGTCCAAAGAGGTCCAAAGCTTTATTAAGCAATCACATCATATTTACAGAAGCAGTGTTTCGAAGCCATGCAGGGCGCCTTCATCAGGCATGCGACCCCTTCATCAGGCATGCTTCGGAACATTGCTCCTGTGAATATGATGCAATCACTCAATAAAGCTTTATTTTCTTTCTCCATATTCCAAAAATGTATGGCAACAAACAAGATCTGCAAAATACTCACCATGCATCTTATCAAATTCCTTGGGGTGTCTCCTTCTCAAAAAGGGGTCATTTGGAGGGATTTGGTGCTATCCTGGCATTTTCAGGGCCTCCAAAACTGTGATAGGCAGTCAGGAAGTGTAATGAGGAAATAAAGCCCTTTAAAAGCCTGAAGGTGTTTATTGGATTTTGGGGTTCTGTATTTGGCTAGACTGCCAAAAAGTCTCTCACATGTGGTACCCCCATACTCGGGAGAAGTAGCAGAATGTACCTATGGCATGTGTGAGCAATAAATCATTTAAGTGACAATTTTGTGTAAATAAAAACATTTTTTTTCATTTTCCAATAACTTGTGGTAAAAAAATAAATTCTTCTATTGACTCTACATGCCTCTCAGCAAATAGTGTGGGGTGTCTATTTTCCAAAAAAGGGGTCGTTTTGGGGGTGGGAGAATTTTATGTCAAGCATTAGAAGTTTATGCCACTTTTTGTTCACATTGAAAAAAAAATTGTATTTTTTTCTAGGAATTACTTTGAATCCCCAAACATTATATTTTTTTTAAAGCAGACACCCTAGTGAATAAAATGATGGGTGCACACAATTTTTTATGTCACATAGTACTCATGCAGAGATTTTTCAAATGCAAATTCTTTTTTAAAAAAATACACTTTTTTACTTTTAATGCACAAAAACACAATATATTGGCCAATTATTGGTAAAATATAAAAGATGATGGTATGCCGAGTAAATAGATACAAAACATGACATGCTTTAAAAGCTGCGCATGCCCCGTGCAATGGCGACAAACTGCATACATTTTTAATATCCATAGGCAACATTTTAAAAGCCTTTACAAGCTACCATTTTAGATTTACAGAATAGTGTAAAAATAGTGCTAAAATTACTGCCCTTGATCTGAAGTTCACGGTGATACCTCACATGCATGGTGCAACCGCTCTTTACATACTGGCACAGGGTCAATGCTCGCGCAAGCAGGTGCGCACACACGCGTGGGGGGGCAAGGGTGCTTTTTTTTTTTTTTTTTCAAGTTCAAGGGGAGTAGTTAAATTTGCTGTTTGGACTGGAATTCCAGGATGGGCACTGAATGGGAGAAGTACGGGCGCTGCAGAATTTGTGGGCTGCCAATCAGGATTTGCAAGCATGTCCGGAAGGATACTAGGGGCTCTACAAGCCTGTGTGCGAATTCTTGGTGGCTGCTGGACAATACTTGTGCTGATCTGATCAAAGATATTGATCCGTTCAGACACTATACTAGCAATGGAGGTTTATTGTGTATGTGAATGTGTTCCTGGCAATCAAGGGGTTAAATATAACTGGTGTACTGACGAGCAATCTGACACTATCTGGGAGGGGCGCGAAAACCGCGCGGGGAGTGCGAATCACGTATATATCCATGATTTTGCCCACCCGTGCCGCCCTGTAGCAGTATTTCTACAATAGGGCGGCGCGGAAGCAGTTAAACATGTCCAGTAAAAATTTTTTTTTTTTTTTTACTAATAATGGCAGCAATCAGCGACTTATAGCGGGACTGTGGCGGATATTCTGACATGGTGTGGGGGGGAACTGACTTGGTGTCACTAAGTTCCCCAGTGACACCAATACAGTGATCAGTGCTAAAAAAAGCACTGATACTGTACTAATGGCACTGGGCAGGAAGGGGTTAACATGAGGGGCAATCAAAGGGTTAACTGTGTGCTGGGAGTGTTTTACTAGGGGCAGGGGGTGTGTGTGCTGCACTGTAAACACACTGCTCTGGATGGCTGTGCACAGCCATCCAGAGCAGTGTGACTGAGCCACCAGGGAGGAGGACTGTTGGTAAACAAAGCAGCCCTCCTCCCCATCAATGATTGTCCTTGTCCGTAATCACCAGGTGCCAATGGATAATCACCGGCTGGGGCTCGGTGATTGACAGCAGTGGCCACGAATGGCACGTGGGAAATGCAAAATCACGTATATATGCATGATTTTGCGCACCGTTCCGCCCTGTAGCTGTATTTCTGCTATAGGGCAGTCAGGAAGCAGTTAAAGAAAACTATCATCTGTTACATCATTTGTTGCTATGTGTTTCTGTGTTCAGTTGCTTCCAAAACGCATCAATCTGCCTGAATCGAGCTACAAGAGAGCTCATAAACTTTTTTGAGCTTCAGGCATTTGGCTTCAGGAGATTTGGAGTGGAGATGTGAACCACCACCATAGAGAATAATAGTTTTTTTTTCTCCCTGAGCGTTCTGGAGCTTGAGGCTTCATTAACATCTTGGTGTTTTGTATTGTATGCAGTATCGGCATGATTTTGGCCATAATCCCAAAATGGTCTGCAAAACTGATTAATCGCACCACGCTTGTTCAGTTGCCATTCGTTTTTAATGGCACCTGAATGCGGGTGTGATTCTGCCACGGTTGTCACACAATGAATTGCACTGCAATTGCACAAACTGCATTGCGTAAAGTTTGCCACCCCAAAAGAAGCTCCTTCTGCTTTGTAGTGTTGGGCTAGATGTTTGAGTTGAATGGGGCACCCGCCGTGCCCCACAATGCACTATGTCCTAACAGTGCATATTGACTGGCCAGAGTAATGCACCTCAAACAGCACAAATCACAAATCACAGCACATGATGATGTCACATGGGGGCGGGGGTGACCCCTTACCTTGTGACATCATCACTGTATTTAAGAACTGTCATCCCAGCACATCTGTCAAACGCTGATCACATGAGGTGGTAAGAGGCCAATCACAGCGGCCTTTTACCATGTGATCAGCTATATCCAATGACACAGCAGATCACCAGGTAAATGCAGTTGCCTGTTATCAGCTGCACTTTCTTCACGCTGTCACAGAGTGAGGAAAGTACTGCCGATAACCGTCAATTGTCAGAGGACAGATCGGCACCCAGCAGTGCAGTGCCCAGCAGTGCCACCAGTGCCCACCAGTGCCACCCATCAGTGCCCCCCCCCAGTGCCACCCATCAGTGTTTCATATCAGTGCAGCATCATCAGTGCTGCCTCATCAGTGCCAGCTGATCAGTGCCACCTGTCAGTGCCCATCAGTGCTGCCTATCCGTGCCACCTCATCAGTGCCCATCAGTGCAGCCTATCAGTGCCCATCAGTGCAGAGTCATCAACGCACATCAGTGAAGGAGAAAAAACTTACCTGTTTGCAAAATTTTATAATAGAAACAAAGAAAAACTTTTGTTTATAGCTCAAAAATTAAAACAGCAGTGAGTAAATACCACCAAAAGAAATCTCTATTTGTGTGAAAAAATATATAAAAATGTCATATTGGTAGAGTGTTGCATGACCGCGCAATTGTCATTCAAAGTGCAACAGCACTGAAAGCTGAAATTGGCCTGGGTAGGAAGGGTGTATAAGTGTCCAGTGGGCAAGTGGTTAATAAAGAACTTGCCAAAGGCTGTTTCCTGTAATTTTTTACACCACACTTTTTTTTTGTGAATGAGTAGCAGTACCATGCACCCCAAACTCATTCACATGGAGGGGGCCGGGATCTGGGGGCCCCTTGTTAAAGGGGGCTTCCAGATTCCGATCAGCCCCCCGCCCGCAGACCCCCACAACCACTGGCCACGGTTCTGGGGAAGAGCCCTTTTTCCCTATCAACATGGGGACAAGGTGCTTTGGGGGGAGAGCCATGTGGCCTGGTATGATTCAGGAGGGGGGGTGTTTGTTCGACCTGCTGGGCTGCAGGCTTGGATTAGGGTGTGGTATGGATTTTGAAGGGGACCCCACGGCATTTAAAAAAAAATTGGTGTGGGGGGATTACCCCAAAATCCATACCAGACCTGAAGAGCTTGGTATAGATGGGGGGGCCCCACGCTTTTTTTTTTTTTTTTTTTAACTGCGGGGCAATGCCAGCAATTCTTTTTACATTCAACTGTCAGCCGGGAACCACGCTGACAACTGAAACAATAATGTTATTAGCAGCTGTGCGGTATCTTACTGCATACTCAGAAGCGTAAGATACCGCTTAGTGAATTGTCCCCTCTGTTCAAAGTTCGCAGTTGGACTTTCATTAGGTTCGAGTGTTCAACCACGAAATGAACAGGGGGGTGTTCAGCCCATCACTACTCCTACGATTTAGCATGAGACAATTGTGGCGGAATCCCAGACATGTTTAGGTGCATCGAAAACGAAGGGGGGGGGGTAGGGAACTACCCCCTGACACCTGAACAAATGTGGTGCAATTTGTTAGTTTTGCAGAGCGTTTGGGGTTTGCAGGCAGAATTGCGGTGATTATGCCCATGATGAAAAACGCCTAGATGTGAATGGAGCCTACAAGATGCACAGTTGTGAAAGGGGAATCGTTAATGGCTTCCCAAGCACATGAAAAAAATGAGCTACAAATGCGTCAAAACAAATGCCCATAAAAAAAATGCCCGAAGCTCCACGACTGAAAAGGTTCTGAAAAACACGCAACAAATTTGTGGAAACACGCAAAAAATGTGTTAGAACACGCGTCACTGCTACGCTCAGGTGTGAATGGGGTATAACCCTAGGTTCACACTTATGCAGTTTGCGTTTGATCCGTTTCTGCAGTGCGTTTTGCATTTTTGCACTCGTTTTTGCCACGTTTTTGATGCGTCTTATGTTTTTTTCCTTGTTGCTAGGCAGATTTAAAACACAAAAAATGCATCAAAAAACGTGGCAAAAATGCATCTAAAACGCACTACATGCGTTTCCATTGAAATCTATAGAACCAAAAACGCAGCTTTTTGCATTCAAAAAAGTCTCTGACCCTGTGAAAAAAACACACTGGGTGGAACCGCGGAGATATGAACCTGTCCATTAGGAAATCATGTTAAATGGACTATAATGCATTTCTGCAAAACGCCAAATTCTGCGGAAAACTCTTAGCTGTGAACCTAGGGTAAAAGAGGTTGTAAAGTCAAGTTGTCATCTCTGTGTTGATCTTTACTTGTCTGTTATTTCTATCTTTTTCTGTCCAAATCAATCCAGACAGGTTATCAATATTGTTCTCATTGTCGGTGTAGGGGAGGTGATTGCAGGGACCTGGAGTCATAAAAGAGGACTGTTCTGGTGGTGTCTGCTTGTAGAGATCAGTGGGGGTGCTCAGGGACTATAATGGGAATAAAGGAGAGGGAGGATCCCACCAGTTTCGTCCAGGAAGGTGTCAAACATTAACTTTGGGCAGCTGACAAAAGTGACTGGACCAGTCCTGGAGTGCAGACTGAATCCTGTCCCTCCGGTCATTACAATAGGGATCACATCCTGGGATTGCCTCCTGCTGGGGCCGTTCATTGTGTCCTTCCCGTGGATGTCTAACCTGTGTACACAGAGTCCGGGGACTGAGGGATCCAGAGACAGAGGGGTCCGGGGACTGAGGGGTCCAGAGGCAGAGGGGTCCGGGGACTGAGGGGTTCAGAGACAGAGGAGTCCGGGGACTGAGGGGTTCAGAGAGAGGGGTCCGGGGACTGAGGGGTTCAGAGACAGGGGGGTTCGGGGATAGAGGGGTTCAGAGACAGAGGACTGACGGGGACTGAGGGGTTCAGAGACAGAGGGGTCCGGGGACTGAGGGGTTCAGACACAGGGGGGTTCGGGGATAGAGGGGTTCAGAGACAGAGGACTGACGGGGACTGAGGGGTTCAGAGACAGAGGGGTCCGGGGACTGAGGGGTTCAGAGACGGGGGTTCGGGGATAGAGGGGTTCAGAGACAGAGGACTGACGGGGACTGAGGGGTTCAGAGACAGAGGGGTCCGGGGACTGAGGGGTTCAGAGACAGAGGGGTCCGGGGACTGAGGGGTTCAGAGACAGAGGGGTCCGGGGACTGAGGGGTTCACGGACCTAGGAGTGCAGGAAGAGAGGAGTCTAGGGACTAAGGGGGGGGTTCAGGGATAGAGGACTGAGGGATTCAGGGCAGAGACTGAGGGATTCAGGGACAGAGGAGTGCAGAGACTGAGGGATTCAGGGACAGAGGAGTGCAGAGACTGAGGGGTTCAGGGACAGGAGAGTGCAGGGACTGAGGGGATCAGGGACAGGAGAGTGCAGGGACTTAGGAGGGGACACCATGGCTCTCAGCTCCTGGGATCGCACAAGGGTCCTGGAGAGAATACAAGCCGCACTGGCTGGACTACAGGAGCTCCGCATCCTACGGGAGACCCAGGGGAGAATGGTGACTGCAGCGCTGGCTATGGGGGAGCACCTACCGCACTCTGTACAGGGCCACAAGGTACGTTCACGCACCATGGATTTTTTTTCGATCAGTACATTGTGAGAACGACTTAAGGGTCCTCTTATTAGTCTGTTGTAAAGTAGAACTAAAAGAATTTTTTTTCCACACTAGTCAAAACTTTGAAAAGCGATCCGCAAGGGATCGCTATTCAGAGCGAAACTAAGCAGCTGCTGTCAGTTGTCCAGGAGGGCTCCTGAATGCCCGTTTTTTGTTTTCTTTTTTTGTTGTGCCAAACGACACTTTATAAAGTGGCTAATGCACAGCAACCATGAGCCAAGCGTTTGGCTTGCAGTTGCAGCGCGACCCAATTCACACGTAATGCAGTGGGACGCAGTTGGCTGAATTTTGGACTGCACTCCAGCTGCATAGACAGTCCAAAATCCAGGTTGTCCTGTGGGCATAGTTCACATCATTGCAGTACAGAAAAGTACAACATGATGCATTTTTCTGCGCTGCAATTGCACAAACAGGCATACAAATGCACCGCAAACACATCACAGTGCACATAGAAGCCCAATGAAAGAAATAAGAAGGAAGAGACCTCACAAGTCAAATGCTGATAGAAAAGCAGTCATCAACTGCATGTAAAAACACACTTCAAATGCATGCATAGGTACAAGGGAAAAAAACACACAGTTATGTGCAGTTTCTGGTGTGAATGGGCCATGAGTGTTAGTCTACTGTGTGTTTTTTCATGCACATTTACATGCATTTGAAGCTCATTTTTATGCACATTTATATGCAGTTGACATTCATTTTACCATTTTCATTTGTTCTGTGAGATTACTTCCTTCTCTCTTCCCTTGGGCTTTTATGTGCACTGTGACACATTGGGGTGTGTGTTATGTGTGTTTGCATGCATTTGCACATGTTTTGTGCATTTGCAGTGTGAAAAACTACAGCATGCTGTAGGTTTTTCACTGCATTGCAGTGTACTGTAATGGTGTGAACTATGCCCATATGATAACCTTGATTTTGAACCGTCTATGCAGTTGAAATGCAGTCAAAAACGCATCCATCTGCATCTGGTGTGAATGGGACCTAATAGTTTACTGTGCCTGTCAACTCAGCATGTCGCATTAGTTTCCAGCAGCCACAACGCACGGTTGTTCTGTAGGTTAGCTGTGCTTTCCTATAGACTTCTATTATGTCCTGTACTTTTGGTGCATCTTTTGATATATATTGAGTATATGGAAAAGCATAGCTAAACCAAAAAAATGCATGTATACTGCACTGCTGCAAAAGCACAGTGGGGCAGCGTGAAAGTGCCCTTACTTTAATTTTTCATTCCCGACCTTTCTATAGGGGAGAAAATATTCTAGCTCTGTTGACTTTAGAAAATTGTGTTTTTCAAGGATTTTCTACAGTTTTATCTTTCCTCAGATATGTGGAAATTGTAGGTGGCATTTTTTTTCTACTTTTTTTTTTAACTTTTACGATATTTAACTAGTTTTTGTTACTTGTTGTCATCCTTTCTGTTTTTCAGACCCTGCTGCCAGACCATTAATTTTTCTCAACAATCTTCCCATTATATTATATGTGCATTTAACATCTTTGATATGTTGTATTTGTCTTTAAAAGCCTCATGGTATAGCTATAGTATAGCCCCCGAGACTGCTGCTGGGTGCTGCCATTTTGGATATGATGTCTGCTGTCCCAGCAGATTGAGAGCTGTCACTTAAAGTGTTTATAAACCCTAACAATCAACTTTTATTTGCTCTTTTTAGGTCTGTTAAATATACACATTTTGCTATTATCTGGAAGTGTGATGAGAACACCAGACAGCTGCCTTTCTGAGTCTTTTTTGCACTTACAAAGAGCCTTCCTTGTTCTTCTCGCAGATTACAGAACAAATTAGCCTTTATGTGGTGGATATCTGAGAGTAGGTGGTTGAGTAGTTTAGCAAAATACACAGGGCAGGGCTGACACC